TTAAGTGATTAGTTATCATATACTCCTTCCGTCCCAATATAAAAGGCACATTTGCGTTTGGGGAGTTTTTAAGGGTGAACACTGTTTGAACACTGTTTGACACTGTTTAGACACTGTTTGACACTGTTTGGACACTGTTTGGCACTGTTTTGCACTGTTTTGTTTGCCAAAAAGGGAAATGTGCCTTTTATATTGGGACGGACCGAAAAGGAAAGTGTGCCTTTTATATTGGGACGGAGGGAGTACTACTTATGATTAAATGTGATAATTATATCATTCATGTTTGTTAATGCATATGTATATATGTATTTTATACACATGAAAATACAATATTACTTATCATATTTATGCAAAAAATATAGATAAAAATGTAATTTATGTGTCTCCGACTAGTCCCCGACTAGGCGCCCGCCTAGCCGCCTAGGCGCAGGGCTGGCACCCGACTAGCGCCTAGCGCCTAGCGCCTTTTAGAACATTGGTAGAGGGGATCGAAAGGGAAAGCATTGTTTGGTTGGTGGGAAGGTTCCGAACAGTTAGCTCACTTTTGTTTCGGAGGTTTTTTTGTACAACCCTAGTGTAATGATTATAATCTACAAGGAAAAAAGTGCAAAAGCTTAAGAAAGGCACCTGACAGAAGACGAATGAGTTGAAAATAAGTGTGTTGAGGGTCAAATCCTCATTTGGGCCACCAAGACGGAATATGAATTTTCCACAAGCCTGAAGAAACCAGATAACTATGAACTGGTATAAAGATTGACCCAAGATATTCCTCCACATTACGTTTGTGATAAAACTTCCTGTCCTTCCAACTGGAGCCCTCTTCATTAGCTCATCTGTAGGGGGTTCAGTTGCCAAGGCAAGTGCTCCCAATGTGTCCATTATCATATTCACCCACAAGAGTTGAACAGCGGTTAATGGGGCACTACCTGCAAGACAATTGATACAAATTATTTCAGGTGGCCCAAAAATTTAAATGGCAACTAAGGGCCTATTTGGTAAGGGACCAAGGGTTATTTGGTTGAATCTGTTGAAGCGCGGTTGGTAACACCATTCCAGCCAGATAAGTAAGTCAAAAGTTACTATCTCTACTTGTCCTGTTGATAGCAGATAATCCAAATAAAAAAAGATGCCAAAGCATATGCTCGTTACCCGTTAAACAAGCCGAAGAGAAGTTGACAATTAAAGCAACAACATTAACAGTCAACTGAAACTGAACGAATTTCTGAATGTTTATGTAAACTGAGCGTCCCCATTTAGCTACTGTCACGATAGTTGAGAAATTGTCATCTAGAATGATTACATCAGCACTCTCTTTGGCCACCTGGGATCAGAAGTAAGGATCAGTGTTTCAAAACCTAGCAAAAGGTGAGCCTGATTTTATATGTTTGTCCATATTTTTATAATCTCCTAATATTTTATATACTAAGAGATTCACAAAGTTCTAGTTTTTTTCACCTCAGTCCCAGCAATGCCCATTGCAAGCCCAATATCAGCCTCATGAAGTGCAGGAGCATCATTAGTTCCATCACCAGTTACTGCCACAACTTCTTGAAATGTTGTTCTCAATTGCTTTACCAATGTGTGCTTGTCTAGTGGTGAGGATCTAGCCATCACCTTCATAACAGAAAACAAAAAGAAAAAGTTTTAGGTTCAATTTGTTTCCAGGGAAACATTTTTGAGGGCCTACTGTGATTCTTTGAACTTCTGTGAAGAGTGACTTCCCGCTTTCGAAATGAGGCGTCATTTTCTTGAAAAAGATATCAAGTTTCGTTTTTAACATAGGAATAATATTATACAAAAAAAACATTTTTCTATCACAATTTTTTTACAAAGAAAGCATTTTTTCTCTCCACTGGAATGGAGCTATAAATTTGTTTCTAGAATATTTTTGATTTGAACAAAATATTTTACTTTGTAAATAGATAAATACAGAGTATGCAATAATTAAATAAAGAACCTGGATTTTAGGAATGATTTTGTGCATCTCCTCGAGACTCATCTCCCTAAATACAGGACCTTCAATGGCAATACCATCATCAGTTAAAATCCCACATTCCCTGGCTATAGCTTTTGCAGTGTTGATGTTATCTCCAGTGACCATCCTAACAGTGACACCAGCGGAATGACAGAGGGCAACAGATTCCCTAACTCCCGGCCGAACCGGATCCTTTATTCCCACTATCCCCACACAAGTATAGCCCGAGACCGGAATATCATCATTAGGTGAGAACCCACTTTCCAAATCGAGATACGCAAGGCATAACGTTCTAAGTGCTTCATTGGCAAACTCATTGATAGTGGCATTCATGTGATTACATAACTCCTCATCCAGTGGCACAACCACACCATCAGAATTAATAACTTTGTCACAGGCAGCCAATATTATCTCTGAAGCACCTTTAGTATGAGCACGTAAACGTCCTTCAGGAAGTTCTAATACTACACTCATTCTTTTTTTGGTGGAGTTAAAAGGTTCGACTTTTACTAGTTTGCAAGCCTTTCTTTCAGCTTGGAAATCCCCACCAAGATCCAAACCAAACTTAAGTATTGCTGTCTCGGTTGGTGTTCCCAACATTTCACGTTTCCCAGTTTTTGAAGCCACCACTTCACCTCCCGTGTTGTTGAATATGGACTGGAGAAGCGCTTGGAGGACATTATATGGAAGTTGGGTTCGGATATCATTTGCGTCACTCGAAGTGTTTAAATCTTTGACTTTCATACATATGCAAGTCTTGACAACAGTCATTCGATTCGTGGTTAGGGTCCCAGTTTTGTCACTGCAGATCGTTGTGGCGGACCCCATTGTCTCACACGCGGCCAGGTTTCGTACGAGAGCCTTATCATTCATCATTTGTTTCATGGCGAAAGCCAGGCTAAGTGTGACCGCCAGGGGTAGTCCCTCGGGGACAGCAACGACGACAATGGTGACAGCCACTGCGAAGTATTCCAGCAGTTCGAGTGCATCCTCACCACACAAACTCCAGTGGGTCCCTTCATGGAGCTTCCTGACGTACATCTTCTGGATCAACACGGCGAATGTCACAACTGCGAAAAAGAGCCCGATTTTTCCTATGATTGTCGCCACCCCGTTTAGTTTGACCTGCAAGGGAGTTTCATCATCTCCTCCTTCGCTGAGGGTGGCCATGAGTTTTCCCCATTGTGTCCTCATCCCGACCGTGGTGACCAACATCTTGCAGGACCCATCTTGGACTTTGGTTCCAGATAATAGGAAAGGGTTTTCTTCACTGACCATTACCGGCTCACTCTCACCCGTCAAGCTCGACTCATCTATAGAAACTGAGAATCCGGAGAGGAAAAGTCCGTCTGCGGGGACTTGATCTCCAATTGCAAGATGCACAATGTCCCCAGGAACAAGTTCGTATATTGACATCTTCTGTCTATATCCATCCCGAGTGACCTGAATGGATATTTTCTTCTTTTCCTTGTCCAAGTCTCTGAACTGTAAGGACTGGCGGTAGTCGCTGGTGGCAGTGACAAACACAACCAATAGGATACTCGCGACGATCCCGAGCCCGTCATGGGCCCCTTTAGGCCATCCCTCGGTTGCTAGACCAACGAGTAGGGAAACCAGGGCGCAAATGCCGAGAATCATTAAAGTCATATCTTGAAGGGCTTCCCATACGAAAACCCAAAAGCTCTTGGGTTCACTTTCAAGAAACTTGTTGATACCGAAAAGCTCCTGCCTGCGGTTAAGAGCTTCTGGATCAGTAGTGAGGCCATTGTCAACAGAAGTTCTCAGCTTTCCAGAAATTCCCTCCACCCCACCATGGAATTTTAGTTTCTTCAGATCATGGTCTTCAACTAATGTCCCCAGTTCTTCTGCACAAATTTGATATCCTGCGGCCTCTGCCTCCTTAGGCACAGTGTAATCCTCACTCGGTTTCACCCCTACGATCGTTTTTTAAAGAAAAAAAGGTCATCAGCAGCTCTGATAGACAGAAATTACAGAATTACCAAAACAAGAAAGTCAGAGATAGGTTTAGTCACCCTGTATGAACTGAAACGCAGCCTTTGAAACAAGAACTGCAATCCTCAATTTCTCCTATGAAGAAACAGAAACCCATCAAAACTTCGTTTTGGAAAGTGTGGTCCAAACACAGGATGGAAACATTACCAAGGAATATACAAATTTCTCTATTTACATCTCAAATATTCAGTCAAAATGGTACCTGATTTGTACGGCGCATGGCAGCAGCCTCATAACGCTTGGAGAGGTTGGCGGTGAAGCGGAAGCGGCGCTTTGGGTTCTTCACGACGCCGCAGAGGCTCCGCCACCGCTGCAGCGCCTCGTCCGACGAGTTCTTCGCCTTCACCCCCCCAAAGTTCTCATTCAAATAGCTCTCCATTTTCAACCACTCAACTCCGTGAGATTAACTTTTCTTGCTTCCAAACACGCATTACATATGGAAAGATTCTGGGAAAATGTTCCTCCAATGAGAAGGAGAAAAGTCTTTAAAAAGGGGTCATTCTTTTGTCAGATGGTGCGGAGATTCCCAGTGATTTCAGACAGAAGCCGCGTATGAGCAACGTGCATAAACGACGAAGATTTTTGTAAAAAAAAAAACGTAAAAGTAAAGATGACGATAACAATGAATCGGTGTTAGGGAAATGTTGATCCGGAATTTGAGTGCAAACAAGTGGATTATCAGGTTCTAATGGAATTGATTATCCTGGTTTCTTGGTCAAACATTGAACGAAATGGCCGGACAATATTAATACCGACAGGTTACTGTTGCTCGGAAGTTTTTTCCATGAAATCATATTTAATATTGCGCGTGATTAACAATTATGAAATGGTTAGCATGTGACCCGCCTATTTGATACCCTATTAATTCCTATTTAAGAATATGCAGAAATTTTAATTCCTATTTAAGATGCCCATTATTTTCATTTATGCAATTATACCTCGATCTAGTGATAACATACGAAGTTTAATTTTTTTTTTGGAAGAATTCGGCTTATATTAATAACCCATTATTTTTCAGAGTATGGGTCAAAATACCAAAAACAATCTGACAATCGTTATCATTCGAACCAGACTCGGAATTAATCGTCACAGCAATACAATTCGCTAATCCATTATTGGGAAACACAAAGCCAAAAACGGTCGCCATACTCCCCTCATTCCCATATCCAAAATCAACGTCTTACAAAGTGGAACGTAAACAAAGAAACAAACATCAAAATAAAAGAAACAATTATTGAAGTAGCAAACAAAGTAAAATAAAAAACACTCCTGACGCAGCCATAACACCTGAAGAATCCCTCTGGCGAGTGACCTCCATCCTGCAACCTACATCTTCGACGGGCTTATGGAGCAAAGCCTGCCTCCTCCCTATTTTTTGCTCCGTCCAAAGCCATGGTGTCCTCCACTTGCTCCTCTGTTTGAGTCTCCCATATCTTCCTCCTCTTAGAAACTTCTTTCTTTGGCTCCTCCCCACTAGGGGTGGAGACAGGGAGGGGCTGGAGGTGGTCATGGCTCCTGCAAGAAAAAAAAATTGTTAAGTATATATTATGTATAAATACTTTTAATCTGTAGAAAGTATGTTGATATTTTAAACTTTGGCCCCTGCAATATAGAATTCTTAAGGACCGGCCCCTTTAACCATAAATGTCTGGCTCCGCCGCTGCTCCCCACCTTGTGTGAAGCTTTGGGCTGATTCAGTCATTGATACTTTCTCCTTTTCTACTATCTTTCCTTCTGCTTTGGATTCCCCTGGGCCTCCACCCGTTCTGTTTGAGCTCGATGAACCCTCCAAGAGCCAACTATGTCCTCCTATCGGGCTCGTGTTCACCCCACTACCTGCTCTTAGTTGGGGTCCAAATCTTTTTTCTAAAACTAAGCCTTCTTCATAATTTAGGGGACAAAAATTATCTGAATGTCAATTCAAACCACAGATAAAGCAAAAGTTAGGCAATCGTTCGTATTTAAAATCTACCCAAAAACTTTTACCATCTTTTTTCAAATTTGTCCCCTTCTTAAGCGATTTATCCACCTCCATAAGAATCCTAACTCTCATATATGGCTCTAATTTATCCTTCTTTTGGTTATCATCATATCTAATAAACTCACCTATAAAATTTCCCACACGCCTGACAGTACCCAGATTAACAAGACTATAGGAAACATTATGAACCTGGACCCAAAACTCTGACAAATTTAATATAATTTTGTATGGAATATCATCAGGCATAACTTCATTTAACATTACCAGACTACGTTCAAACTACCAAGGGCCTCCATCAAGCACACGCTTCATAGCAAAACGATGATTAAACGAAAATAGGTACCGATCGCCATAGCGATTTCCTTCACCGACATACCTTTCCCCGGCCGCCAAAGCGAAAGCGTCGTCTCCTTGAGGTCCGGAAATTTGACCTTGCAGTCAATAAGAACTTGGCCGATCACTGGGAAACCGATCGCCGCCTCGTCCACCGGACTGCTCTCAACCTCCCCTTCATCAAGATTCAGTTCTTCTTCGTCATCACCGATCGCCATTTGCTTATACCAATCAACAACGCTATCCATAGACCTTCTGTATACCCCCGCCTCAGCCGCTGCTTCTGCTAACAAAACAGCCGCCTGTACTCTGTGTTCCTCCCTGAATCTCTCGGACTGCCTGGATATAAAGCCACGCCCGCCGCCCTCTCCACCAATCCAAACCTCCAACCAGCACCTCCTTATCCTCCAACCAGCACCGCCCTAAACAACCAATCAAAACTCGCCCTTCGAATAATTGAAGGCGGACAAACCGAAGCTAAAGCTTATCGGCCGATAACCCTAGAGAGAGAAATTAATTCAATCTAGATTATTAAGTTTAAAAATTAAAGAGCGGCATATATGAGAGGTAAATGTAGGAAGTAAATGAAAAAAGTAGGAAATAAAAGCGAAATGTAGAATAAAGCTTTTCAAATACGGAAATGAGAATGGTATGAAAATGGACAAATAATAAAAGAATTCTAATAAATAATACTCCAGTTCCACCGAGTAAGAGGTTATTGAAAATTGATGTTTCTAATAGATTATTGGAAAAATATTTTACAACAAAATATGTAGAGCCCGTTTGGTAGCACAAAAATCGGTTGATTTGGCTGATTCTATTGATATTTATGAAGTTCTGGCTGAAGTGGCTGCATTGGCTGGCTCTGCTGATTTAAAAAAAATTATTTTAAAAATATAATTAATTTATAAAACAAAGAAAAAGTTATATGTAAAAATAGCTAAAATGGTGATCTACAGTAACTTCAGCTAATAAAACCAGAAAAGCAACGTCAACCTTACATTTTCTGTTTATTACACAATTCAGCGCGTCAAAGCAAAAGTTACATCTTTAATGAAAAAGTTGGATGATAAAAGGGAAAAGAGTGTAAATACTTCGTGTTTGTTGCAAAACCGCCTGTGCATAAAGAAATAATGAATCTAAAATGACTAATGAAAGAAGGAAAGCAGTCTTGTACCAAGCAAGGTAGATTTAAAATGAGTAATTTTAAACCTCTTTCATTACACGCAAAAGATGAATGATCTTAAGTTCTTTTAATTTTAGATTAAAGATGAATTCAATTGTACCAATGTTTTTTTCCCAATGTTTTCACTTATTCATATCAAATATCAGTTCTTAATTGTTAGATTGTGTTAAAAATTAAATTTTACTAAAGGAAAAACTATTTTCAATGATGATTAATCTTCATCGTTAGATTCATATTGAAAGTAAAAAGTTAGTATTACGGGTTCCTTTTTGAAAAAATTTCAGAGCTCGCTTGGTTATGCCAATCTCGGCTGAATCGACTAATTCTGCTGAAATTATGAAGTTCTTTTTGAATTGTCTGATTCTGTTGATTTATTAAAAAATTATATTTAAAATATATTTTAATAATAAAATAAAAAAGATTATATGTAAAAATAGCTAAAATGGTCTTCTACAGTAATTTCAACCAATACGACCAGAAAAGTAATTTCAACTTTACTTTTTCTTATTATTACGCAATTCAGTGCATGAAATAAAAAATTACGCGTTTGGTGAAAAATTGGCCGATAAGCCTGATAAGCCGAAAATCTGAACTACTAAACAAGCTCTAAATCTAATAGTAAAAATCAATAGTCATTACTAATGATGATCATAAAAATTGGACAATGAACTCATAAAAGGTAGATTCTATGGTACCCATAAGGTACCATACCTTTGTCTACATGGACCAATGAAAATGTTACAGTTGAATTATTTAAATCTAAATTAAAAATGATAAAGCGATACGACACCCCATTTTTAAAAAGGGTATCAGAGTTGTCACCCTCATTAAATTAAATTGCTAAAAAAGAGAGCGGCTTAGAATTGTGCACCTTAGGACTATATATCTGTGTCACTGTGTGTGTGTATGGTCGAATGAAAAGAAACTTAAAATGTGAACAATTTTTGTGCATTGGATTTGAGATTTGATGACTTTTGAAACTTCAACGATATATCGAATTTGGTTTACATTGCGAAAAACACCCAGTAATGGAACCAAAAGTGCAATGTTGCCAAGTACAAATAATTTGTTTACACATTTCACGTTAAGCCCTCTATATTTATTTGATATGCACTCCATTATTGTGTTGTCCAAAGGTATTACGAATCCAAAATGTTAAAACTTAAAAGTGGAGATTTTGGACTCCTAAATTGTTACATTTGGGACCAAATGAGGGCAAAAAAATAAAAATGGGTTAGATGGAACTAAAAACAGAGAGCTTGTTGATAGCCCAAAGGATAGAAAAAAGCATAAAAAAGAGTTACAATGCAAAAAATATATCATAATTTGTGATTTTTTATGATTTTTCATATGCCATCAATATTGCATATGTATATTTTAAAAAAATATGGAGTTCCAACTTCTTGAGTTTTTAGGCAAAAAAAAAACGAAAAACAAATTTTTATCCCATGATGGTTCCACACATAATTGGATTTTAATTGAACTCATTATTTTTTTATTTAACCAAAAAAGTTTAAAAAGTTTAATGAAAAGCTAAGAAAGACAACACTTATAACAATTTAATCAATATATTACTAAATAGATATGTAAACAAATATCACTACAAGAATAATGATTTTTAAAAACCAACATATAAGGTCGACTCTCAAAATTCGTGCGACATATGTTAAGTAAATTTTATTGAAGGTACTAAAATACAGGTAAAATTGTATTGAGAAAATCTACACACTCTTTTGATATAGATAAAACTCATATTTAAATTTTTAGAAATTGCTCTAAATAGGATTAAAACTTAAACAAAATGTACAAATATGACTAAATGTATTTACTCCCTTAATATGACTAAATTTTTCTCTTAAATTTTCTAACAGTTTGGGATGCAAGTAGTCTGAGTATAAATACATCAATGATTCGTCAATCACAAGAGAGATAAAGACACTACAAAGAGACAAGCAAGGATGACAAAAGTTGAAACAAAAGAAACTTAACTACGAAGCATAAGGCCAAGACAGCTTTTCTTTATTTTTGTCCTAGAAAAGTACGGAGTACTAATGTAATTTAGAAGTACGTACTTCTGAATAGAGAGTATGAGAGTATCACAAATTAATACTCGCTCCGTTACCTTAGTGGCTGACTCTTATAATTTTAACACATTTTACTTTTCGACTGTCTAAAAAATTTTATTATTTTTCCTTTTAATTAAATAAACTGTGATTCCTATTTTTTTTCTTTCTTCTCCAAAAATATCAATCATACTTTTTTTACTTATTCCCTCCGTCTCGAAAAGGTTGGCCGAATTTCCTTTTTAGATGTCCCAAAAAGATTGACCATTTTCATTTAAAGTAAGGAATATGTGGGTAAAGTTAATTCTCTTTACTCTACACAAATTTCAACCACACAATTTTTACTTTATTAATCCACGTGAAAGTCAATTTTGGCCAACCTTTTCGCGACGGATGGAGTATTATTTATTGTGCCGATCACACTTAACAAAGTTCTAAGGTACAAAAGGAGTATGTGTAAACATATGGAGCACGGTTTAGGTAGTGAGGAACAGAGGATGACATGCCTTCCACACATATATAAATTGAAAATCAAATGAGAACAACATTGAATGAGAAAACGTGAGAATGCCATATTTACCCCAATGTGGTGCACAAAAAGACTCGTCCGTTGCACTTTTTTGTTTGATTGCTTCCTGATAAACTACTGGCGGTATTATAGAAAGAAGAAATAGCTACGAATTAAAGAGAGTAAGTAACTTGCATTAATGAGAGTCATTTTGTAATGATCTTCCTGCCGGAGAGAAGAAAACTAAATGATCGTAGATAAGAAAGACCAGAGAGAATGCAATAGGGAGAGACTTGGAGAAGAAGAAAGAGGAAATAGTTGATTGTTATTTCTTATCCCGCGATGTAAATGGACAATACATTTATATATATTTCTCTTCTTCTAAATTTAGTAATAACCCATATAACATAACTTGGGTTTAATGACATTCATATTGTCTAGCATAATAAATTATATCCAGCCCACTTGCTCTTTCATTTCCTGCCCCTTAACTTCCTCTTCAGCCTCTTTACCGCCCAGGGAGCATTTGAATGAACCGGTCCCTTCTTTTCCTTCTGCCGTTTCAGCGGAGGTCATGACATTACCTCCCCCGTTTTTGCGATCCTTGTCCTCAAGGATCAGTTGGGGAAACATCTTCTTAAGTTTATAACGAGATACCCATCCTTCCACAGCCTCTTGCCCCTTGTTTAAGAGAAAACAGAAGGAAGACACGAGCAGGACCTGTGGCTTCTGTGCGGGACTCTTGGATGGCCAACGGAATAACAGAAAAGCAACCGTCATTGTCAACGGGAGGGAGATTAGCTACCACTTCCGCCCTAGGGCTAATGCAACGCTTCAGCAGTGACACATGAAACACCGGGTGTATTTTTTCATCCGCAGTTAAATCTAGTTTATAAGCCACCTTTCCCACCCTTTCCACAATGGCATACGGCCCAAAATATCTAGCAGCTAACTTGTGATTTTTTCTTAATTGAATTGAATGTTGCCTGTAAGGTTGTAGTTTCACATATACAAAATCACCCACCTCAAACTCCCTGTCACATCTCTTATTGTCAGCATAGTGTTTCATCCTTTCTTGTGCTAACTTAAGGTTCTCTTTTAATTCTTTCTACATCCTCTGTCTTTGAGTTATTAGCTCCTTAGCATCAGTGTTTGAGAAGCCAGATTGAGTTCATAGGAATAATGTTGGGGTAAGATACCCATATAGGGCTTCAAATGGAGTAGTCTTAATGCTGGAATGGTAATTGGTGTTATACCAGTATTCTGCCAAAGATATCCATTGAACCCACTGTTTGGGATTTTGGTGGGCCATAGCTCTAAGGTATGCTTCTAAACACTGATTCAACCTCTCTGTTTGCCCATCAGGGGTGATAGGAAGATGTATAGCTCAAATGTGTTCCCATGAGTTTGAACAACTCTTTCCAAAACCCACTTAGGAACACCGCGTCTCTATCAGTTAGTATATCTATGGGTTGGCCATGCAATTTGAAAACACTGTCTAGAAACACTATAGCTACCGTGGCAGCAGTGTAGGGGTGTGATAAGTGCAGAAAATGCCCATATTTAGTCAACATGTCTACTACCACTAGGATGAAATCCTTACCATGTGATTTAGGTAACCCTTCTATAAAATCCATGCTGATGTGGCTCCATGCTTGGTCAGGTATGGGCAGTGGTTGCAGCGACCCTGGGTAAGGACCTCCTTATGATTTAGTTCGGGCACATGTCTCACACTTCTTGACCCACTTGGTGATGTTCGCTTTCATTTTTGGCCAGTAAAAGACTCTCCGTATCCTCATGTAAGTGCCCTGTATTCCTGAGTGTCCCCCTATAGCATATGTATGTAGTTCCCTGAAAATGGTGTATCTAAGTTCCGTAGAGCTGTCAATAGTTACCCTCCCCTGGTACCTCAGAACACCATCAATATTTTCAAAATCCGGATGAGAACTAGGATCCAAAAGCTTTTCTTCTAATACTTGAGATAGATAAACATCATCTTCATGGCTCTTGAGTACTTGTTGCACCCAGGTAGGCCTGACCACTGATAAAGACCAACACCCATCATTTTCCTTTCCCTTTCGGGAAAGGGCATTTGCCACCTTATTCTCAACCCCCTTTTATAGTGTATGTCATAATTAAGACCTAACAGTTTGGTAATCCACTTTTGTTGGGATTGATTGGTGGCTTATAAGCAAGGTGTTCCCTCCTCCTAATCAGCTGGTCTTTTAGGAGTGAGTTCTACATCTGGGGCTTATGGCACTAGTATGGGCCTAGTATGGACTAGGTCCGTAACACATTTACACTTGATTAGGAACATGTTCAAACATTTCATCAACAAATTGCACCAGGAAGGCCCCTAAATAACCTCACCCTGATGGCAGTTTCATCAAACCGGCTTGATGAGAATGCCCCCGGGTAGGAATCACATTGCTTTAACATCCGCATGGACCATCGCAATGCTTTGTTCTAATTATACAGTCGGATTCCCCTTTCCCGTACCAATTTCACATTATATATGTGTATATAATTACTTTAGAAAATGTGTGTATATTATTACATTTTTTATTTATTCTTTACTTTTACGTAGTATAATTAATACTTCGTAAGAGCATCCGCATTGCTATGCTGTCTAGTGAAGAAAATGTGTGCCATGTCATCAACTGGGACATTGTGATTTCAATTTGACTTCCAATGCATGTAGTCTCTCGTTCAATTATGATGACTTGGCAAAAAAAAATTAATCACTGTGAGAAGGGACCGTGTGAGTGTAAAAAGGCTCCTTAACATGCTGTGTCACGCTCCGGACCTACCGGTGACGCCAACAACCCGCCGTACAGTACGAATAGTCAACCGCAGTCCAACTCATCCATAATATACTAGGCGTCTTGAATACCATTCACACATAGTACATCCATAAACAAACATAATGTAAAATATTCATTTAAAGCAGCGGAAACATTAATAAAGTGTTTATGCCACACTTTGGCAGACATGGGCATACAAGCCCCCAAATAATTATTCAATAATAATATCCATGAGCATTATTTAAATTGTTTTCAAAACAGAAACGGAAGAAGCACGAACCACGTCCTCCTCCTTTGATCTCCCCAAAGCAACGGGCGGTGGAAGCAACCTTCAAGTCCTACCTGAAACTGTGAGGTGGCCTCCCCCGTGAAGGGGAGGTCAGTACTTGGAGGCATTTGACAAGTACAATGACAACTATACTAAGTATAATCAATGTTTTAATTTCTAAGACCCTCAAAATAGGGTGATATCATAATATAAATAATAATTTATATTTCCCACTTATTATCTCTATAATAAGTAAATTCATTTATTTGTCGGCACGCGGCCCATCTTATACATCCCTTTTCGGTTATCATTTGCACAACCCAACCCGTGGGTCTTATTATTTCTACGGGATTTGCTACCGCTGTCCGAGACCTCATGAGGCTCTCGGTTCGGACTTCAACATCCTGCCCCTGGACTCATACCCATCATCCCGTAGGAAGGTAAGGCCCTTCGGGGTCCTATCTTATGTGTTACCGCTACCGGAGCCTAGTTAGGTCTCCGATTCGGATTCCACCCTATCCCGTGATCACGATGCAAGTCCATGCTATCCAACCCCACTCTCTAGAGTCGGGAAGGGCCATGGTCCTTGCTATTTACCATAACTTATCCGGCTATCCTCAAGGACTACCGAAATACGCCCGTAGGCCAATCCTACCTCTAGGATCAATTTATTATTCACTTTCTCTTGGGTATCCTTTAAGGCCTACCCCTAGTATATAACTTAAAGCTCATACTTATCCACCTTAGTATCTCTTAAGACTACGTAAGGCTCCATATTTCACAATCCAAATCTTGGATCAATTCTAGCATATTCTCATTCAAATACCCCGACTAGTATCTTAATACTAGTCGGATCAATCCAACAAAACAAATTTTCAGTTCATAGTCATATAGACAATTTCCAAACTAATTTTCCATTGAAAATATAGTTCCCATCAATATACAAAATATAACTTTTAATCACTCATATATTCTTATATGAAGTAAAAATTATATTTCAAATATAGTTTATAGTTAATTTCCTCATCAAGCCAACATGCTTATAAAACATAATCATACACAATTTATTCTTAAATTTGTATATTATGCTCCTTTTCCTTATAGACAGTAGTCTCCTCATTCTTAAGCATTATTAATCATTAATAATCCTTAAAAACGTATTTAATTACCTTAGGTAATCTCATGAAATTAACTCAAAGATTATAAGCAATATAGTCAGTCATCCTCACCTTATGATGTGCTACAATAGTTGCCTTTGTTAGGCCCTTCGATCAATCCCCGTTCCAGGACGATTGGAAGTGAAAAAGTGAGCTGCTGGGCAAAAGCCGGGCGGCTTTTACAAAAGCCGGGCGGCTTTCGTGTTCTGCAGATTCGAGCAGCTCCCTTAAAGTGGCGGTTTCCGGCGATTTCGACCCCTATCGATTCACCAACTCTTCCAAGTTAAATATCACCACTTTATAGCGACATTCTACACTTTTAAACGTGTAGAACATCATGTTTCATCCACCATGTGATTTCTTAAAAATCCTACACCATAAAACTAGTTAAAAGAATATAGGTGGAGTTCTTACCTTGAACTCAAACTATTTCTTGCTAGACCTCCTTCCTTTTGCTTCCTTGAAGCTTGGACTTTGAGAGAAAACTTTCCTAGAGCTCTCTCCCAGTGATATGTTCGAATGATGCACAATGAGTGAGGGAGATGTATCTCTATCCACTCAACTCACATAATGCATGAATAAGACATGGGGGGTGTGGCTCTGTCTCCAACCATGCCCTCACCCTATATTCCCACCCTATCACTCAAAATTGTCTCCATTCCATTAACTTGGGAGTTATTTGATTGGCAAAATACCCCAAGTGGGTGCAGGAAGTCCCTCCCCATTATTCCTGCTATTTCTGGCAGGTTAGGTCAAAATAGCACTCGGGTTGCCCAATCATTTCCCTTAACTTCAGTTGGCATTTTATTGGGCTTCTAAAATTAATATGATGACCCAACTAAATATTTGGTAGCTCAGTCACAAATAGTGGACCCGATAAATAATTTAATTAATCATGCATTAATTAAATATACCAATTCTAACACACAAATTTTATTCACTAGGAATTCAAAAAAAAAAAAAAAAAAATTGGACAAACTACACCTCAAAAAGCCTCTGCATCTATCGCCGAATTTGACGCTACAGTGTTCCACGGAAGATATTACCGCTCTGCGCGACGGCACCTCCAAGAGAGCAGAGAACGAAACAAAATTCAGATCCATGGAATGGTGGCTCTGGGGCTCATCTCTCTGACCTACTTTCTGGTCATGGAATTGGTGAATCTGTGTCTCATCTCTCCGACCTGCTTTCTGGTCATGGAATTGGCGGATCTGGGGCCCATCTCTCTGACCAACTTGTGAACATCTAATTTGAAATCTGAAACTTTGTCCCTGGGAGATTATATGGGAGAGTTGTTCAATTTTCTGCACCAACATCGTCTTCTGTGGGATGTAAAAGAAGAAAGACGCATCTTCTTTTTACGTAGTAATATAAATAAATGGTCCTGAGAACATTACAGGCTTTGTGTGGTGAAAACAAAATATATTGAAATTTAGTACTCCGTAATACATTAGACTTGGTTGTTGTTTTGCATTGGAGGCTTCTTTGCTAGTCTAATACTCCCTCCGGTTTTATTTAATCTTCACACTTTGACTTCACACAAAATAAGGAAAGAAATTTGACTTTACTGTAGAATACACTGTTGAGGCACTGTTTGACACTGTTTGGCACTGTTGAGACATTGTTTGGCACTTTTGAGACACTGTTTGACACTATTTGGCACTGTTTTGATGTAGATTTCTTTGCCAAAAAAGGAAATAAGGAAGTGTGAAGTTTATTTTAGACCGTCCCAAAAAGGAAAGTGTGAAGTTTATTAAAAACCGGAGGGAGTATATATATATAGTAATTACACTTCTGGTTACGTGTATTAGAAAGTCTATTAGTTTTTGGACATTTGGCATATTTTTTTAAGACTAGACATTCTGGGGATCCTCTAAAACGTTACTTTAGGAATTAGGAATTAAAACTAAAAAATAATGAGTCATCTGTGTAAAAAGTATCCCCTAGCTTTGAAAAAAATTACTACGTAGTTGGTAAAGAGTTGAAAGTAACTACCCGTGCGATACAGGGTAGAGATGTACCCAGAATAATTAATAAAATGAAAAAAAAAAAACTATGAATAAGTATTCCCTGTATAACTAAAATCTTTTCCAAAATATGATGTTATAAGGCATGCATCCATTTCATTTAACATTATCTTTTTCTTAATTAGTCCCTTATGTATTTGATTATATATTGGAAAGCTATCATGCCCGAGGGCTCCAGAACGCCCTAGCCCATTTTTTTTTATAGGTATAGGTTAATAAAAAAGGTGTTCAGTCCAGCCACAAAAATTCAAATGCTCAATGAAGTGAAAGTCTTAAATATTAATTTTAAATGTAATTCATAATTTCAGTCCTCGTAGTTTTTTAATACGTCATGATATCATTCACAATTGAATATTAAGAATAATTTTATATACAAAAGTTTAATGTGTTAATGATGGTCATTTTTAGAACTTATGTGTGCTATACATTTAATCCGTCAAAAGATATGTTATTTTAAAAATTGCAAATTGCAATTTCATTTGCGATAGAAGTACAACTAAAAAAGAGTTCTTTTCAATTTTCAATTTGAAACGAGTTTTAATTAAGCACTTACAAAAACTAAAAGTTGAATTGGAAGCATATGGAAATGTAGAATGATGCTTTAAATGAGTTTTAATTAAGCACTTACAAAAACTAAAAGTGATGACCAGACGGGGAGAAAATACAGATCGGCGGTCCGTCCCTCTCTTGAACTGCCCGCCTTGGATTGATCGAGATGTCAGGTTTGTAAGATGAAATTTCAAGAAAACAGTCAGAAAGAAGTTTGGAATATTTGTCAGTTATTCTATTTTTATGGTCTTATTTTCATGTTATGTTTGTTTACGGTGTTTCGTTTTTTGTTGAGGTCTTTAGTTTTAGATCATTAGAAGGATCTATATGGCCAGTGATTGTTGTGTCACACTCGTTTGGTGGTTAGCGATTCGTATTGCTCTTTCAGGGGTGATCGTCTCAGAGTCTAGCCGTAGGGTTGATTGTGATAGTTAGTTAGAGATAGTTTTGTCAGGATTGGTCTTTTTGAGTTTGTTGTAACGATCCACTTCCAAATGGTTTAATATAAGTCTTGAATTTGATGATAAAAAAATTGCTTTTGACTTTTTGTATTATACAAAAAAATATTTTTTTTTTGTCAAAAATTATTTTTGAAAAACACTTCTGTGTTAAACAATACTAAATTTTACTGTGAATCACTTTATCTAAAACCAATTTAAAAAATAACTTAAGAAAATAGAAGCAATAAAAAAGACTGCTAAATTTCTTGTGTAGTTTACAAATTCTATATAGATGCATTTTTAGAATCACGGGTGTTATTTCTATTTCATGGAGTAATTTTTAAAGTAAATAATACTTCACGTGATCTTTCTAGTCGTAACATTTTTATTTGAATGATTCTCAATGCACAATTTTAATCGTCATTATATTTAATTCTCTATCAGTAAAAAAAATTAAAAGTTACATAACCGAAATTTATAATGAGTCAAATCCAACAATATTTTCTAAAAGAGATCGATAATTGCCATATATTTATAATGAAAATATAAATAAAATAATGTATGTAAAGATTATAAAATTATCTATGATACTACTGAAAAGAAATGTATTATATTATTTAATCCATTTAGAAATGGACTATAGTCTATAGTATCTAAAAGTAAAGTATGAGAAATGTGCACGTACACTCACAATCACTTAGATGAGTTCATAAATGTTTTTTTGTTGGTAGTTTCTATGGTACCCATAAGGTATCATACCTTTGTCTACATGGACCAATGAAAAGGTAGCAGTTAAATTATTTAAATTAAAATTAAAATTGATAAAGTGATGTAGTCCAATCAAACAAATGCTAGGTACGGTACTTCTGTTTTTAGAAAGGTACCGGAGTTGTCACTTTTTTTTTTGTTAAAAATGACATACACATACTATATAGGCGGGTTACTACACTTGGCCTAAAAGAAGATGGACACATTTTATATTGATATCTGACACATAAAAAATTTCAATTGATCATTGATGGGGTAAACATGCTTGGTGCTCAACATCATATACACATTCCCTCTAAAACTCTCTGTATCCCTCCACAACATAACTCCCTTTCAATTCCTCTGTGTGAATTATCATTTTTTGTGCTTTATGTATTTCTTATGTTTTTTTCACAATCTATTACTTGGAGTTTCCTTTTACCACATCCATTAATAGATCTTGCCAAAAGACGTGCCTGCTTTTTTGTAGGCAATTACATTTCACATTAGTTGCGGTGGTTTGTGCAATTCACATGTTATTGAATGTTATTTAGTATTTTAAAATAATTAAAATACTCCAAACTAACTTTGAAGGGTGTGAGATAAGCACCCCAAACTTGCATATGTAATTTAAATACCCCAAATTTTATATAAAAAGTTATTTTAGCACAATGATCTTGTGTTATTTTTTTAAAAAATGTTAATAATTGGTGTAAATTTCATAATTTAAAACATTTTAGCATTCTTGAATATATAATTAGCATTCTAATCTTTCATTTTAAATTAAATAGTATACCCCCCAATTCTATAAAATTGAAATGTTTTCAATTTAATTGCTATTTTGAATTATGCAATTAACATCATAAACTTTTGAAATGATGCATGACCATTGTGTTAAAATAACTTTTAATATAAAGTTTGAAGTATTTAAATTAAATATAAAAGTTTAGGGTGTTTATCTCTCACCCCTTCAAAGTTTGAGGTATTTTAATTATTTTTTCTTTCTTAAATACTACTCTATATTTAAATTCAAAGGTTTCTATTATTTACTTTTAAGCCGGAATGTTTAAAGTAAAAATACTAAATGTAGTAATTTATAATTTATACCAAATAAGTATACACAGATTTATATATATTTTAAAAATGAATTCGACATTAAGTTATGACTTTGAAAGATATTAATCACGCACTACACGTCTACACCTTGCATGCATATATTATGAAACCACATGCCATGACTATTTCTTTTACTAAATTGTTATATGCCAACAAAGGTGACAAAATTTGTGTTAATAATGTGCCAATAGTTGTGTGTGTAGTGTGTATACGCCATGGATGCAACATAATTTTCATTTACCCATTGAATGAACTTCAATTGCTTTTGTGGGTCTTCCAGGTAGCTAGTTTTGCTTTCATGAATGTTGTTCTTGAATGTTTAATGAACACGCTCCATTTCCCTGTAGAATGTGTATACTACAAAGAAGAAACATCATAAAATCTTAATATATTATAGATGTCATTCCTTTATCTTATTTATATTACTCTGTATAATATAATATGTAGCAATACGAAGTAGATTATTTTCAAAAGATTTGTAAGAAGCATAAGATATAATACCTCTTCGACCTAGAATTGAAAACAACTTCTAGTGTCGATCTGCTGACCTTGGAATAGTTTTGAAGTAAAAATGACCAATTATATAGGAGTAATTGTTTTTGGCTAATGCCCAATCGTGCTTTAAGAAAACAATACAACACCGTTTTCTGACTTAGGTAGCATCCTTCCCAGAAGTTTCCAGCAAACCCTTCCTGAAATAGGACCTCAAAATAGTGAGATGAAATGTTTTGTTCATATATAGCCCTTATTATTTTAAAAAACAAACTCTTACTTTACTTCTCTAGCATGTCACATACTACCTCCGTTCTCTATTAATTGCAACATTGGACTTTTTGCACTATTCATGTATTCTACTTTGACTATATTTTATTAATTAATGTATTATAAACTAAATTTTTTAAAAATATTGTTAAATTCTTCTCATTCTAAATTTTCAATGTATGAATTTTTTAAAATTTTTACTAATAAGGATTGAAAGATATTAATGGTCAAACTTGTGTATTGGTAAATGTGAAATGTTGACGGTTGCAATTAAAAAGGAACGGAGGAAGTATGTGTTATGGTTACATAGCTAATAGCTAATATGATCATATATAGCTCGCCTTTGACCCCCGTTGGTTAGCCAAAAAGGAGTCAAGGTTGTGTTATCATCTCCTTCGCCAATCTGATTAACAAATGGTATATTAGTTCATACATGTTATGATTAATAATATTAATAACACTTAGTAAGTTAAATCTAAAAACTGTTAAACATTGATACATCCATATCATCGAATACCATATTCATCCTCAGCCCTCACTTTTAAGATGGCTGGCATCTAAAGACCTCTAACAACCCCTCCTCATCGATCTAAAGACATCTAACAACCCCTCCTCATTGTAAGAACCCATACAATTTCAATTTGTATTGACTGTCGTTATGTTTTGCACCGTGGTTCACTGAATCACTTGTTTGCTCTCCTAAATCATCCATATTTATGTGATTGGAAAACTCCCTTAGTTATTAAAATAGTACTGCACAGAAACATGGAAGATGGTATATTGGCTGTAAGACGATTTACAATCTCGAGAACATTAGGAGCCTGTTTTTTCACCAAACAAGTAACTTTTGCTTTCGCGCGCTGAATTGTATAAGAAGCAGAAAAAGTAAGGTTGGAATTACTTTTCTGGCTGTATTGAATGAAGTTACTGTAGATGACCATTTTAACTATTTTTACATATGATTTTTTCTTTATTTTATTGATAAAATATATTTTAATTTTTTTTCTTAAATCAGCAGAATCAGCCAATGCAGCCATTTCAGCCAGAAATTCATAAGTTTCAGCAGAATCAGCCAAAAGAGCCGATTTTCATGCTATCAAACTGGCTCTAAATGTCGATTGCTACATTCAATGTAGATTACCAACATGAGCATGTTTTCATTTAACGTGAATTGAGTGAAATTATCAACCGACCATATTTCGTACGTTCTAATATGTAGTTTGAACAAAATGAACTGATATCAACACATAAGACATTAAACTTTTTTCCCCATTACCCGACCCTATATCCAACCCATTTCTTACCCATCACTTTAGGTGAGAAAGTTGACTCTTTTATACTTCTTCAATTCTTTAATTCTTACAACATTGTGTTTTTTTTGCATTATTCACACACCGTACTTTGATCATGATTTTCCATTAATATACATACTCAAATTATTATGTATAAAATGTTATTGGATTCCAATTAATGTAAATTTCCAAAATATCAACTTTTTATAATGTTTACTAATACATAATTAAATATAATTATAGTCAAAATAGTGCATTGACAAACATAAAAGTCAAACTATTACGAGAATTAGAGCACGATAATATATACTCCGTAGATAGATTTTATAATTTCATCCCGACAAACAAGTCCTATATCATACGTAGTACTCCCTCCGTCCCGCTATGATTGTCCCATTTTACCTTTTCGGTCCGTCCCACTAAGATTGTCTCATACCTTATTTGGTAAAGTTTGTGTGGTTCTAAATCATTTCAACTTTATTCTTACTTTATCAATTCAATATCAATCACATAAACTCACTTTTATTAATAACCGTGCCACCTTTTCTTGTCCCAAACTACGGACGTAGTGTCTATTAACTAGAGGATATAGATATTGCTCATATATCCGCGGAAGCCCTCTATAGTTTGTACGTGTGTATGTTTTCTGTTCATGTATCTACACCCGCCCATAACATACTTTCATTTATGTTTTTAATTTCTTCTTTTCTGTGTTTGGCGCAAATTCTTTGAATCAGTACCGGCTACATCGCGTATGTGCTATGGTATTGAGAAAGATGGTAATTGCCATCGGAAGCAAATCATTTCTCCATTTCTCCCTCTCGCCGGATTTTTATCATGCGTTGTCAAAATCAGGAAAGCGGGCCGTGAAGCTGCCGACATGTGATTCCGGCTTAAACAGAGGATTCAGGTTCGGCATTCCCGGCGGCGAGGTTAAGTCTGGATTAATTGGCCCAATTAAGGCACTTGAAGTTTCTAGGTCGTCGCATACCTACCGGGAAAACGAAAAATCTCATCCGTCAGGATGCGGTTCGGAGCAGGAAGTAGTCGCCAACGATTGCGATGATCTCTCTGGTACTGCTATATTCTAATTCCATTTCCTATACTGTTGTAAGTAATTGGAATCACAAAAAGTTTATGCTTTTCTTAATTTACTCTTTGTTTCTTTTCCTGCACAAAAAGTTTATTATTTCACAGGTCCTAGTACTAAGTGTAAATATTCTTATATTCCCTAATGATGTCATCAACAATCCTTCTCTTTTCCAGATTTTTACTCATATATTCTGCTTTCAATGTGTGTCCTGTATTAATTGAATACTCACACATACAAGCCAGAGTATTTTTCTCATCTGAAATGCTTACTAGGGCAGTGATCACAAATCATAATTGGAAATGAGATGGTTCCCTGTCCCCTGAGTTCATTACATTGTAGTCCTCAATTCCAAACTTGATGTGGATTTCACTATTTAAGGTTTTGTACACCAAAGAAAGGTTACATTTTTTCTTAAATCAAAATAAAGATGAGTAACTCTGAATATGGTACTCTCAATAATGTTTTATAGATATGCATAATATTATGATGTAGTGGACTAGTGGGAGATGGAAAAAGGCAGTTATATAAAATAGGCAATTATCATTCTCTTCATTTTTGAAAGTGCAGTTATTTTGAAAAAGACGTAACAACAAAGACTCCCAAAATGTCCCTAACTAGTTTATTATTGATGTGCGTTGGTAAATGGTAATGAAACCAATTTTCGGACCCATTTAGCTGCTGACTGCTGACTGCTGATTCTTCTACTTCTCTATCAGGCAAAGAAAGACCAAAGACGCATACCCTTGGAAAATGTACTAATATTTATTGGCACAAATGCTCAGTAGAGAAGAGTGACAGGGAGGCTTTACTTCAGCAGAAGGGATGTGTTGTATGGATTACTGGTCTAAGTGGTTCAGGTTTGTTCCTCGAATAAAGTATCAATCATTTTCTGCTTTATCTGTATGCTTATCTTCCTTTATCTAAATACAGTTTTGCTACTTTTGTTTTCCTTTGAATTTCATGTAACTCATTTCATGTTCTCATACAACCTAAAAGTTTCATTCTTTATGCTGGCTATCTAGTAAGCGTCTTTGTTTGTGTTGAATGCATTCATCTGTATTAGCAGTGTTGTACTTATCTGTATCAAGCAACAACAAACACATGTTTGCTTTAAATAGCTATTGGGATTGTTTTCTTGTATGTGATTTCAGGAAAGAGCACTGTGGCGTGTACACTAAGTCGTGGCTTGCATGCACGGGGAAAGCTTACTTATGTTTTGGATGGAGATAATATCCGTCATGGTCTGGGTAGTGACCTTAGTTTTGGAGCAAAGGATCGATCAGAGAACATTAGACGGGTTGGTATGTTTCTAATTTGTTCTTCCGTCAGTGGTTCATAACGTTGTAGAACTTCAAAGCCTTATCACGTATCACCTGAATAGAAAATTTCATTCTGCTTCATCTCAATACACAGGAGAGGTAGCAAAGCTTTTTGCAGATGCTGGGGTAATTTGTATTGTCAGTTTGGTATCTCCATATATAAAGGACCGGGATTCTTGCCGTGCTTTACTTCCAGAAGGAGATTTCATCGAGGTTCAGTTCCTATTAATGTTGTTCTCCTAGGGCATGGATTTGGACTGTGTATTCCAACTTTTAAAGCTAAAGTTTGCTTAACACATGGACCTGGCCATTTATAGGTGTTCATGGATGTTCCTTTACATGTGTGCGAGGCGAGAGATCCCAAGGGATTGTACAAACTTGCCCGCGCAGGTAAAATAAAAGGTGCTTCCTTTTCCGTATAGCATCTCTATTATATATCGAAGTTTGAATTATCCACTTTACCCATGACAACAGAAAAAATCTTCTTTTACATTTGGCTGTTGTCTGAAAGAGTCCAGGCAAACAAGAAAAGTGATCACGTTATTTGTTGTGTTTGTTAATCTAAGTGTATACACTGTTATTGGTACTTATCCATTAATGTTAATAGTAACGATCATTTTAAGCTAACAAATGCATGAATGAAATTGATCATTTATGGTTAATGGTATAGGTTTTACCGGTATTGATGATCCATATGAGCCACCAAAGAGTCCTGAGGTAAACCTTTGTTGTCCTAGAGAAAATGTGTTTATATCCATTACAGAATCAGATATAGTTCTCCTGGTTGTAGATTGCACTAATTTGGTCTGTTGTAAATCTGGAAAGAATTATAAGTTCCCAAAAATTATATTACACACCCAAAAATAAGTTCCCAAATCCCACAAAAGCACACCCTGCAGGTAAAAATCTACACTTTTCTTGTCATAACGATGGATCATTTAATTTGCAGATAATGCTTCGCCTTGACCATGGATTCTATGATTCTCCTAGTGACATGGCTGAGGTTGTGATATCTTTTCTGGAGGAAAAGGGGTATCTAATACCATAGCTGCGGCTTCACATCCTAGTCCCCAGCTTTTGATCATCTGATCCAAGGCCCTATTCATTTTATTTATGGGAAAGTGGCATTTAAGGTCTCTTAGAATATTTTGGAACAGTGGATTTAGCATGTGAAATGTAATTACACATATATAATTTAAATATAATTATAATTATAATCATAATTATAAAAAAATTATAATTATAATTATAATAATTATAATAGGTATGATTATTATTATACGTATTACACTAGTTATAAATGTAGCTATAATCAGAGGAAGCGGTCCAGCTCAGCTGGTCGCCGACTCACTCTCCCTTATGAGAGGTCTCGGGTTCGAAACTCAATGGGGTGAGTTTCAACCTAGTTTACTTCAGGGCCCCCCCAGACCCCCCCCCCAGACGTCTCCTAGAGTAAACAAAAAAAACTATAATTATAATTGTAATTATATTTTTAGTTATAATTATTTCTATAATTATAATTTTAATTGTAATTATAATATTTATTTCTATATTTTTAATTGTAATTACTCCGTATAATATAATAATAACAAAAAAATACTAATAACAATAACAACAACAACCATAATAGTAATAAGAATAATAATAATCATGATAATAATAAATATCATAATAATAATAATCATAGTAATCATAGTAATAATGATGATGATGATGATGATGATGATGATGATAATAATATCATTAATAATAGTAATAATAATAATAATTATTATTATTATTATAATAATTATAATAATAATTATAATTATTATTAATATTATTATTATAATTATTATTATTATAATAAAAGGGATAAATCATGTCTGAATTTTTTTGATCTGATCTGAATGTTCCTGATCTGATCTGAATGTTCCTGATCTGATCTGAATGATTCTGATCTGATCTGAATCTTTCTGATCTGATCTGAATTTTTGTGATCTGATCTGATCTGAATAAAATAAGAATAAGCAATAAGTAATAAGATTAAGACGAACAGAACATCTTGTTAGCCTCTTTAGTCCTGGTGTAACTAAGAAGGGTGTCCTAAATGGTTACTTAAGAATTTGAAAAAGACCATTCCAATATTCAATAGGGATGCACATAGGGGTGGACTGGTTCCGGTTCGGGCCCGGTTCGGGCCTGGGCCCGGCCGGGCCTCGGTTCAGAAAAAGGAGGCCCGAGCCCGAACCGGTGGTGGGCGGTTCCGGTTCCGGTTCCGGTTCCGGGCCAGAACCGGGCCGGGCCGGGCCGGGCCACCCGGAATGTTTTTTTTTTTTCTTCTTCTTCTCTTATTTAACCCCCTACCCCTCCCCCTCCACCCCAAACCACCCCAAACCACCTCAAATGGCCCAAAATACCTAATCCAACCCAAAACTTAAAAAAATTTCAAAAAAAAAAAAAAAAAAAAAAAATTCCGGCCCGAACCGGGCTCGGCCCGGCCGGGCCGGTTCACTAAACTGGAGGCCCGGGCCCGGACCGGTATACCACCGGGCCGGGAGGCCCGAACCGGAACCGAACCGGTTCACCGGGCCGGTCCGGGCCCGCACAGTAGCGGGCCGGTCCGGTTCCGGGCCGGTTGGCCCGGCCCGAGTCCATCCCTAGATGCACACCGCAAAGGAAAAACCGATAGCAAAAACAGAACTGATAATTACCTAATCAAACAAAAAATATAAGATTATTTGAATCTCAAAGCACGGTTTGTTAAAATTTTGGTTAAACTCTCTTAATGAATCGCTATTAACAGAAGTCAAATTGGATAAATTTGTTATTTGTATAATTAGATTATATGATTGAGATTTTGAGAGTTTCTTATTTTGTTATGCGGTACTATTTTCAAGTACTCCGTCATACTATTGTATTTGAGATCTTGATGCTGTTTTTAGATTTTGCTTATTTTTTAAAGGAGCTTGTTAATTTAGCAATTATATTTTAATTATTCTGTAACTTGTAAAAATTCATCCTTGAACAATTGTTAGATGCTTAGATGACCACGGTTGTTTTGGTAATGAGTTGCCCTTGATGTATTTTCAGTTATTTACAAGTCTAGGTACAATTATAATTTTTGTCAAATCTCAAGTGCAAATTTCAACAGTTGGACAAGTAACTATTTGCAAATTTCAACCCTACGATAACTTTGACATTTCATTTTAGCCAATTAATTTGGCATTCTTATTATTTCTCTATCCTTCCATAAAATCTATACCTTATAGTTTTTATTTTATCATTTCTCATGCCGATTAAAGTTTAAACCTGGCAAAGTTGTTGGCTTAGCCTTCAATTATACTCTGGATGTGGCTTAGCCAATTAATTTGGCATTCTTATTATTTCTCTATCCTTCCATAAAATCTATACCTTATAGTTTTTATTTTATCATTTCTCATGCCGATTAAAGTTTAAACCTGGCAAAGTTGTTGGCTTAGCCTTCAATTATACTCAGTATGTGGTAAGAATCAATAATAAAGTTATTGAATCCACAAGTCCTAGACAGTAGGGATAATAAACATGCCATTTCACTTTGTTCACATTTCATCTATCTCCTGATAAGTTTATGTTTGTTACCTTTACACAATGCACAGATCTAAGGTTTCAATGAATAATGTATGCATGGTTTTCCAGTGTTGGAAACAGTCAACAGTTTGGCAATGGAATATATGAATGCATCTCATTTGTTTATACCCAAACTAAAGAGACTAAGGCTATGTTTGGCATGACAGCCCATAAAGAGTTGATTTTTTTTATATTCAGTCATTAATTTAAAAAGTAGACCAGTTTGGACACAAGACCACACGGAACTGAAATAGATAAAAAGGGTCTAAATTAAAACGTTAGCCATGCTAGCGTTTCATTCTGGTCAGCTGACAATAAATTTTTGGTTCCTAAATTGTCCTTGTTTCTTCTTCGATATTATCCTTACTGTAGATTTCGTATCTTGTTAATTTTCTTCACTACCATCTTTTCTATTACGTCAATTTTCCCAGTCTTGTCTCTAAGTTCTATGAGAAAATATAATAATGCTTAACAGGGAAAAGATTAGTGGGAGATAATACGTGGTTAAAAGTACTCCGTATAAACTTGCATAAGATTACACGAAGTAATTAAAAATTACAGTAGGAATATTATACGAAGTATATACTCCATATATATGATAATTTTTTCTTCATTTCGTGTTTTGTATTTCGGATGCTATCACTTTAAAAAATACATTTTCTTACTACGTCTTAAAATATCAAAATCATTATAATAATTTGGAAAAATTGACAAAAATAATCCCACCTTTTGCTGGTCTTCTCATAATAATCCCATCTTTAGATAATCCCAGAATAATCCCACCTTTGCACCTCATCTTCTTTCATAGGACCCTGACCATGTTTTTTACTCTTTTTTTGAAAATCATATAAATAATCTCACCTTTGACTTTTCTATTACTCCCTCCGTCCCTAATAACTTTGCCAAGTTTGACCGGCACGGGGATTAATAAAGTAAAAACTGTGTGGTTGAGGTTTGTGCAGAGGAGAGAGAATTAACTGGAACCACAAATTCTTTACTTAAATGGGAAAGTGGCAAAGTTAATGGGACATCCAAAAAAGGAAAGTTGGCAAAGTTATAAGGGACGGAGGGAGTATATCTTTATAAATGTGAGATTATTTATATAAGATTTTCAAATAAAGGTAAAAAACTTGGTCAGGGTCCAATGAAAGAAGACGAGGTGCAAATGTGAGATTATTTTGGGATTATGTAAATGTAGGATTATTATGAGAAGACTAATGAAAGAAGACCAATAATTTTTGGAATAATGTATTTTATGTCCTTTAAAGTAATATTGTATTTTCTAGTCACCATATCAGCTCTTTTTGACAAATGAGTATATTCTATTCAGATTTAGCACTTCATAATTCAGTTTCAGACAATAGTCTTTAATTCAGACAACAGCTCTAAATTCAGAGTCTCCAATTTCAGCTCGTTGTGCCAAATATAGCCTAAAAATGTTACAAAATGTAGATGGAAGGAGTAACATCATAATCATATAGGAGCAAGAGAAGGCAGCCATTTCTCCCCCCTTATTTTCTTTAGTTCTGCAACGCGTTCTTCCTCTCTTTGAAGATATGATCTGGTAGCTGCATCTCTTGCTTCCAATCTCGCCTTTGATTTCTGAGTTGCATCTTTGGCTGCAGCCACTATATCCATTCCTGCAACAGAAACTGACCTGATCCGCCTTTTGAACTGCTCGCAACAAATTTGACATTAGATTTGCAAATTTAACATAAAACGACTATGAAAACAGGAAACTTGATTTCTTCTGCAGATAAGCAAACCTCCTTCGACCCCTCTTCAAGTTCGGTTCCAGGAAGAATTCTAGGCTTTTTCCGATTCTTATAAAGTTCATCTGGAAATGAAACGAACACCACATTTACATTAGCACTTTTAGAAAAGTCGGATAAAACTGATTGAACATGGCCAGAAGTATTACCTGTGTTGTCAACAGCTATCCCGGGAGGTGCATGTTTAAACAGCCTAATTCCACCTTCACTGCAACTATTGGGATCTTCAGGAATCACATCGGTTGTATCACTCACTATTTCAATCGTCTTCTCTAAAAAGTCCTCCAAAAGCTTGTGAACCTGCCGGCGTACATTCGGTAGACTAAACATTATTTGAAATAAAAAATGCCACAATTTGAAAAGCTCTCATCTAGAACTAATGAATAGTGTGCAATCGAAGTAGTGGAATGAGGGAAGCACCTTGATTTGGTAGTGGTTGAGTTTCCGAGGTTTCAGAGCATCTGATCCATCTTCGCAGGAAGGTTGGGCGACTGAGGAAGATGATGGGTGACCGTTGGCTGCGGCGGAGCTGCTAAACGCTGTGGTGGCGGTGAGAGAATCTATGGCGGCTCTCCATTCGGCATCGCCGTCTTCTTCTCCGCTGCTACTGCTGGTCTGACCGCCGCCCATTGCGGTTAAAGAGTCTTTTCATTTACGAAAATGCTAATACTTCCTATATTTATTCATGGGCCAGGCCCAAACGCATATCTTCTAATGGGCCACTCAACGTATGTGTTCTAATGGGCCAAGCGATAGAACAGTCAATATGGGTCCGGTGCAGCGGTGCTCCATACCAGAGCTAGTACACGGCGACGAGAACAACACCGAACTGAGCCGGCAACTGCCATATTAACGGCCGGCGAACTTTGAAACGTTTCTTCCATTATCAGCGGCTTCTGCAAGAAGGTTGCCGAAGCTAATTTATCGATTGATTTGGGGAGCTTCTCTCAAAACCCTAATCATTCGTTGACCTCTAATTCTCACCACAATGGGGAAGAAGCAGCACAGTAAAGATCGAATGTTCATAACGAAGACTGAATGGGCAACTGAGTGGGGCGGCGCTAAATCCAAAGAAATCCGAACTCCTTTCAAACGTTTACCCTTCTATTGCTGCGCGTAAGCTCCCATCATCTCCTCCTTCCTAGCTGTATTTATTCAAGCACGTGAGTTTTCAAATTTTGTGATTTCGTCTGAAGGAAACACTACATTCCTTGAACGCAGACTTACATTTACTCCTTTCGAAGACCCTGTATGCACTGAAGATGGGAGTGTGTTTGAAGTCATGTGAGTATTTTAGTGTTTATGCATCGGATATCTCCTTTTTTCTCTTTGAGTTCTGGCGAGTACTAAATTATCTTGTCCTGGAATGCCTTAGGAATATTGTACCATATATCAGAAAATATGGAAAGCATCCAGTTACAGGAGCTCCTTTAAAGCAAGAGCAACTCATTCCACTCACATTCCACAAGAACGCGGAAGGTAATTAATTAAATCAAACTTTTAACTAAGATGCGGCTGTGCAGTGTATATGAAGTCATTCAAAGTTATAAATCCTATATCAGTGTTTATGTTGTGGAATGTTGTTCTTGAAAACCATCATTGGCTGGATTTTTTTCCAGGTGAATTCCAATGCCCGGTCTTGAGCAAGGTTTTTACAGAATTCACGCACATAGTTGCTGTAAAGAATACAGGCAATGTCTTTTGCTATGAGGTAGATATGTTTTTTTCTCGATTAAGTGATCGAAAATCCTGGCTGCTTTTCTTTGATAAAAGAAATAATATCCATATTCTTTCTGTTTAGGCAATTAAGGAGTTAAACATCAAAACAAAGAACTGGAAGGAACTTCTCACTGACGAACCATTTACTAAAGAAGACCTGATTACTATTCAGGTAGCCTATCACTTTATTGTGCATCTGTCTTCTCTACTCTTTGGTGTTGAATTTTACTGACTCCCTCACCTCACCCACCCCGCCCCCCAAAAATGTATGGTGATGTTCTTATAGAACCCCAATGCACTGGATACTAAGGTGCTTGTGGATTTTGATCATGTTAAAAAAAGTTTGAAGGTTGATGATGATGGTGAGTGGTTACCCTTCTTTCTGTTCTTTTATATCTGGCACACACATTTCTATATTTACACTCTCTTCTTACATGTTATCAGAACTGAAGAAGATGCAGTCTGAACCTTCTTACAACATAAATGTTACTGGAGATATCAAGCGAATGCTAAAAGAGCTTGGCACCGAGAAAGCAAAGGAGATTGCGTTGACAGGCGGGGGCGGAAGCAAGGCACAGAATGAAAGGGCAGCTGCACTTTTTGACATCTTAGAAGCCAGATCACGTATCAAAGAAGACACCAAATCAAGTGAAAATGGTAAACAGGCTTTCAGTATTGTAGATGCGGCATCTGCATCAGTTCATGGAAGAAGTGCTGCTGCTGCAAAGTCTGCTTCCAGTGACAAAGCTGCTGCACGGATTGCTTTGCACATGGCAGGCGAAAGGGCACCTGTAAATGCTAAACTGGTTAGTGTGCCTATTAGAAACAATAAAAAAGAGACATTTTTTTTTGTATTTGGTATTAACTTTCTCTTATGATTTCAGGTTAAGAGTCGTTTCACCACGGGTGCTGCTTCACGATCATTCACTTCTACAAGTTATGATCCTGTCACGAAAAATGAACACGAATATGTCAAAGTTGAGAAAACCCCCGCAAAGAAAGGTTATGTTAGGCTGCAGACAACACATGGTGATTTGAACATTGAGCTGCACTGTGATTTAACACCAAGAACGTGTGAGAACTTCATCACTTTGTGTGAACGTGGTTATTATAATGGACTGGCTTTTCACAGAAGCATTCGGTACCTCTGCCTGTCTTTTGTTTGAAATACTCACCAAATAAACTGCATTAATCAGTATTTTCTGCTTTGGTATTGAAGGACATGTGCCGTCAATTTCGTGCAGGAATTTCATGATTCAAGGCGGTGATCCTACGGGAACTGGACGAGGTGGTGAGTCTATATGGGGAAAGCCATTCAAAGATGAAGTCAATTCCAAGTTGTTACACTCTGGAAGGGGTGTTGTTAGCATGGCAAACTCTGGACCACATTCAAACGGTTCTCAGTTTTTTATCCTCTACAAGTCTGCGAATCATTTAAATTACAAACACTCGGTTTTTGGTATGGTTGTTGGGGGTTTGACGACCCTTTCAGCAATGGAGAAGGTCCCTGTGGATGACAATGATCGACCTCTGGTTAGTAGGAGCTTGTGTTATTTCTTAACTGCACTACTTAGCCTTCCCTGTTTTGAGCCTCTCTGGTCAGTAGGTCTCTCACCTTTGTTCTTTTTCATCATGTTCTCTTGTAGGAAGATATCAAGATTATTGATGTAGAAGTCTATGTCAATCCATATACAGAATCTGATGATGAAGAAGATGGAGAGCCAAAGGATGATAACAAAATTGAGGATGAGGACAATGTTAGTTCTTAAAATGCTTATCATTTTTCTTTGACCCTGTCAGATCTGAACTATTTATTAATCAATACTTGTTAAATTTGTTAATCCCCTCTCCGCCACTTCTTAATGTAAAAGTTGTTTGTATTTCATGACACACAAGAAAATGAACTTTCCTGCTGCATTTTTCAGGATAAGGTGGGGTCATGGTATAGCAACCCTGGGACTGGAACAGACAGTCAAGCTATTGGGGGTGGTGTTGGGAAATACTTAAAGACAAGGAACACTCAATCTGATTCTAATACCATCCTCCCACCACCAATTCGTTCTTCAAAGAAGAGAAAAATTGGGGTCTCCACTGAGTTCAAAAATTTCTCTGGTTGGTAACTATTGTCCAAGAGTTCGTTCGGGAGAGAATGGCTTGCTTAGATCAGCCTATGTCCAACCAAAAGATTGGTCAACTCTTGGAAAAATGTTGACTGCAAGTTGTATTTACTACACAATTTGTTTCCCAGCCTTGATGCATGTAAAAAAACATTAGAATGAATATTGATTCTTTCTTGCCCTGGTTGTACCATACAAAGCTGATAGCTAATGGAAAGCGAATGTGTGTTTAATGTGTGCCTTATGCACCCTGAGTCCTGTTTGACCCGTTTGAGGAGCCAATCTATATCTTTATCCTTTTAAAAGTCCTACAAAGTTTCATCTTCCAGGAAGTGTAATCAAGACTGTCAGTAACCACTAACCAACATATACGGTCTACGGATCACATCATTTGGTGTTCTAGTGGCTGAAGTTTCACGTATTTGACATGTTTGGACATTATTTTTTGATCTTACATTTAAATTAACTAAGGTCGTATTTTTTGTGAGAAATGAGAGCAATGAAGAAAGGTGTGATAACTTGCTTTCATGGCAATGGTGGCATTGTAGTAAAACAGAACTAAATCTTGCAAAAAAAAAATTGGCCCTCCTACTGGCTACTAGTATCATATTTCCCGAGGAATAGCGCATGATTTTGGTTAGAGTTAAGGCTGGTGGCTGGATATTACGGGACTGGACTACAAGTAGATGATTTTTTATATCTAGATTGGAATTGGCTTATATGACATGTAGGACCAACACTGCTTGAGTCAATCTGGCCAGTAAGGTGTGATATAAACTGAGAGGAATAAAAGTCTTGTAAAACCCATGGTGCAAGCCTCACTAGCACACAACTGATATGGAAGATCCATAAGGGAGGGAATTGACTAGTTACTCAGTTACTCCAACTGGATCCTGAGCTTGAAAGTTTCAACTTTCAAATTTGGGCTAAAATGATGGTCGGAGACTCGGAGAGGATAGAATCAAGACCGAATGAGCAAACCTGGCTCGGCCTGGTTGCAACTGTTGCACCGGGCAGCCCATTCGCTTGGTCAACCCTTTTCTTTGCGTAAACATGTATAGATATTGTCGGGAAGAAAATGTTCTAAATATGACCAAAACAGAACATACTTGCTCAAATAACACCAATATTTTCCATACTAGTATTTGAGTGAACATAAGTAAATAATTTATCGATGTTTGTTACAGTTCACAACAATTAATCTCTACATTTTCAAAACAATGCCCAAATTAAAAATATTTAGGCAATATAACAACATTTTTTCCATATGAAATGAGGTATAGCCGAATAATTACAAAGATATACTAATGCAAAAATCATGGGTGATGCTCCGCGCGCCTCCAAAATTTCTATGCGCACCAATTTTTTATCAAATCTGGACAAGCTTGTCCTTGTTCAATTGCTTACGCAGTTATGCTACTTCGAATAGAATAGGCGCAGTGGCGCACCACCTATATACGTTAGTACGTACGTGATTAACCAAGCATATCCTCATTTTTAATTTTAATTAATGGGCCTTATTACTTTTTAAAATAAAAATAAGTTATTACCAAGCATATGGCAGTTCGCATACCGTGGGATCATCCCACGGTGAGGACCATGCTCCTCTACTCAAAACGGCGTAATTTTGCACAACTTTTAATTAAAAAAATTCACGCGTGAACAGTAACACGCGTGAACAGTAGCTTTTAATTTTTTTTTACCTTTTTTGTCCCAATAATATTATGGTGTAACTCGCGTGTAAAGAAATGTAACTCACGCTATTAATCAATGTAACTCAAGTCCAGTCGAAATGTAACTTGTC